GTCTTCACTATCCAGAGCTTCAGCCAGCCACTCGACAGGCGCCTCGTCGGCGACGCTCCTCCTGGCCGCCACCGCCTCGGAAGAAAGACACTCCACACTCGGCGCCTCAGGCTGTCAGGCTGCCCACAAAGAGGGCACAGGCCGTCGCAATCATATCCCGACGACCTCTCACGTTCACGGTTCCAGGTTCCTCTTCAAAAACACCCGGAACCAAATACTTTTGGTGGGGAGCAAAATTTTTGGGCCTGAGGCCCCAACAACCGCTTGAGCGGGTCAACACCAAAACGAACGCCACAGGTCCTAGGGGCACCACGGCAATAAACTCTCTCGTAATGTTTCTGAACCGCGAACTGCAACATGTGCGAAACCATGGCAGGCGAAGCGCAGCCGAGGTGAACCTCGCGCTCATCGCCGCCCTTGAACGCGAGGGCCACCATAGACTCGCGCGAAAGACCAATGCATCCTCAGTATCGGTCCTCGGGTTAGCCTCCATATGACCGTCTCATCGAGAGGGACCGTTCGCCACATCTGACATACCTCCCTAACGTTGTGCTGGGAAATCGCGGGGTAGTGAGGACCATCCAAACGACCAAGGCCCAATGCAAAATCGGGGCCGCCGAGAGTCTCCAAACGGGGTCCCCATTGACGACCAGACGCGCCTGGAGGGAGCAACCGCGGTGCCTAGGAGGTTGGTACGACAGCAGCACCTTACGAACGTTCTGAAGCTCATGGCTACCCCCGCCACCGCCGAGCCCAAACTGACCGCTCGCAAAAAATCCAACAACATCGGATTTCTTCCCCAACCTACTGGGGAAACCAAAAAGTACCGATACCGCCACTTCCCGGACCTCTCCCGGGGTGTGCTCTGGCCAGAATTTCGAGGCGCATCCAACTGTGGCGACGAGGGCCTCCCAGGAGGCCCAGAAAGGGGAGCGGGCGAAGGGTAGCGGTATGGGTACCTTTGTTTCCTCTGACCTACCCTTCTTACGGGGGGGAATGCTGCGCTTCCAACAGCGCCTCTCGCCTGATGCCGCGATGTCCGCACCGAGAAGGAAGCGACGCAGTTGGCCACGTGGCCCGCCAGCGCCCCGAGCAGGCTCGCGGTCTTCTGCGCGAGCGTGGGTATCCAAACGCGCCTGCCTCTCCGACGGATCTTCTTGCAGCGCGCGCCTCGCGGCGGCGGCGGCGGCGGCCATTTCGCTCACGCTAGCGCGCCGCGCAGAACCCGCACGCTCGTCGCGCTGCGACGAGGCCCGGGCCGCCGCCGGCGCGGCGGCGCCGAGGGCAAACACTGCTGGCAGAAGTGTTCACCCTGTCTGGGTGGATTCCCACCCAGACCCATGAAAAACCAATCCCCGCCAAGGGGGTCCAGGCTGCTGGGGGTCACGCCATGACAGAATCACGACGTCGGGGGTCTGGGCACCTTGGGCTGATCCCGAAAGAGAATGAACAAGAGAGGCGCAGCCTTAGTCACGTTGGCCAAAATTGCCTACTCGGTACCAGAAGTCGCGACGCTGTCGTCGTCCACATAGAACGAGATCCACATCGGGGTTGTCCCGAGCAAACTGTCTAAACACTTCGATGCTCTTAACCCGCACCATGGCACCGTCAAAAATGTCACCCGCGGAAGGCCCGGAGAAACAGAACTCAGAAGCGCCCCGTACTGGCCACAAGGTGCAAAAGGCGGTGCCCCCTCCAATAATCAAAGGCGGTCTTGGCGATGGCACTACTCATACCATGTCTCCGGGCGATCTCTCTGAGAAGAGCTACATCGAACGAAGCATACGACTCCCCCTGGTGACGGGCCCCCTCGGCCCGCACGGCCTGATGCCAAACGGCATCCTCAGCACTGCGAACTGGGCAAAAATCCCACGAATTTCTCTGAACCTTATTGCTGACATCCAGAACCACGAGCCTCCGAAGACGCTCCTAGACACGAGCGGGCCCAGCACAGAGAAGAATCGGACGGAGTCCCCCTTTCGGTGTTTCGAGAGGGGAGAGGGAAGCAAAGACAACCGTTCAGGAAGAAAGCTCCAGGGACTCGATGGCCTGGACGATCGCTCCGAAGGTGTCCAAGGCACCGTCGGAGGCAGTGGCAAGCTGCTCGGGATGCAGTCCGTCGAGAGACTGCGACGCGTTGTGCGGCGCACTGTGCGAGGAGCTGCTCCCCATACTCTTCCAGTCGGGCCGCAGCGGGCACAGGAAGAGGACACACATCGGGCACACGAGCTTCTGGTGGAACGTGGGAGGCATGCCGAAATTTCGCCGAACACTCGCCCTCGGCCTTCAACAGCTCTTGGGGGCGATCAGACAGCCTCCCAGGATATTCTGCACAGCCGTGGGGGGGTCCACATCTGCCTGGGCTCAGTCAAACGATGCACAGCTTAGCCTTCACACACACACACACACACACACACACACACATATATATATATACATATATACAAATATATATATATATATATATATATATATATATCCGTCGGCGGCTAGGCAGAGTCGCTGCGCTGGCGAAGGGGCGCAGGCGGGATGCACGAAACACGAATTAAGCCTCAACGCACGGGAGAGGGAGAAGAGGCCCCGCGCGGGCAGGAAAGAAGGGGGATCCAGGCCCGCTCAGAGGGGGCCGGCAGCGGAGGGGGGGCGCCGGGGGCCGGACCAGCGGCGGCGGGGCAGCAGCTGGGGGCAGGAAGCCGCGGCAGCAGCTGGAGCGAGCGGGGAAAGGCCCAGCATGGCTGGAGGCTGAGACGCAGTAGCAGTGCCCAGGGAGCCGAGGTCAGGCGACCTGCGAGGCGCCCGGAGGAAGGGGCCGAAGGGCGGCCACCCCAATAGAGACGACCTGCTGCCGGGCGGGCATGCACAGTGGGCTCGACGCACGAGAGCCAGCCCATGGGAGAAAGGACCTCAGCCAAGTACCGAGAGAGCCGACGTCACGGCTGACCCGCAAGGCACCCAGGCCAGGCAGCCAGAATTGCCCAGACCGGCCTTGGGAGCCCAGGGAGAAGGGGGCGGCAGGTGGAGGCGAGAGCGGAGACCGCGGGAGCCGAGGTCACAAGAGACCCGCGAGGCGCCCCGGGGGGCCGGCAGGACCGCACCAGGAGGGGCGCGGTGCGAGAGCGGCAGGAGGAGCAGCGAGGGCACAGAGCGAGTGCCAGGCATGGGGGAAAGAGGCAGCGGCCAAGCGCCGTGGGTGCCGACGTCGCGGAAGACCTGCGAGGCACCCCTGTAGTGGCGCCTGGCCGGGCCTGGCTGGCCTGGGGCGTCCAGAGCGGACCGAACCCCTGGGGGAGGGGAGGCGGCGGCGAGGGAAGGGCGGGGGCCGCCGGGCCGGGAGACTGGGAGGGCGCGGCGCGGGCGCCGCCGGCGGAGGGAGGCGGCCGTACCGGGCGGAGGCAAAAGGGCAGCGAGCCCGGAATCAAAAACCTGCAGGGACACGCATACACACACTTACACACACACACACACACACACACACACACACACACACACACCGATAACGCTTTCTTCTGCCATTGATCCCAACTGTCCTGCTGGACCTTCGCGATGTCCTTCCGCGACTCGACTAGGCCGTCGTCCCACGACGACTGTCAGCAGTGCTCGATCCACGAGTCGAGGCTGGCATCGACGGCGAAAGCAAGTGCTAGGCGTCTGGCCTGGCACAGGGCCACGTTGAGCCGAACACTCTGGCCTTCGCCAGGGCACAGTAACGTAAGCAACTGCTGGATCCGGTGCTGGGTATCAGCAGTAACCTGTTGGAGCTGAGAATGGTCAATCGGGATCCTATGCCACCGTCTTGAGCCTGGCAGAGCCTCAATGATCTCGGAAAATTGCCGAACTAACCGGGTCCATCCGCAGGTATGAACTTGAGCACTAAAGCCTTGGGTTTAGCCGAGATCGGGACCAATCGAGGCTTGAGGAGGTCGTCCTTGTGGAATTTGCTTTCAACCTCAACACCCTTGAACGGCTCGAGCTCGAGCTCGACTTGATTCCCAAAATATTTCCACGCAACCGTGAGGATCTCCCAGGCCTCACCGACAGGACGCTCAGAAGTATACGAATCAGCGTCCACACAGCAATGATACGACAGAGGCTCCGGTCCTGGGGTCTCGGGGTGGGTCCGAAGGGGAGGGCCGTGCAAAGCTTCTGATGCGCCCTATGGGTTAGCTGGAATGAGGGCACCGCATCCGCTCGCAAAGAACGCTGCACAGGACGGTAAGGGCGGTGAGTCCAGCTGCACACCGCCTGCACTCCATCACAGGCTTGAGCGCAACAAGTGCTGACAAAGACATAAGCGATGGTGATGAGACTTCCAAATGAAAGGCAAGCCTTCTTCGACTCTACGAGCCGAGCCAGTCGAATCCGCCAAACTCGGAAAAAGGTTCCAATCCGCCCCGACGACAGCAGCCCTCTGGTCACGGGTGGTTTAATCGAAGGATCCTGTGCTTCGACCCCTTCTTTCCCCTGGGGGAGGGGTCTGCCCCTCCACCTCTACCGCCTCCATGGGTCTGCACGGGGGGGGGAGGGAACGGGTTGGCAAGAGCGTCCGAGATGGCCCCCGGGCAGGCGCAAGAGCGAGGCAAAAGGGCGCCACCTCAGCACTCAGCACGGCATCTGCGCGAGGGGAAGCGCGAAGAAGGGGAAGGGGGAGGAGGAGGAGGGAGGGGGAAAGGGAAAAGGGGAGGGGGGGAGCCTGGAGGAGTGCTGGAGAGAGTGCTAGACAGAGAGGGAGGGGGAGGGAAAGGTGGAGGGGGAGGGGAAGGGAAGAGGTATAGTTAGGGAGGGGAAGGGGGGAAAGGGGGGGGAGGGGGAGGGGAAGGGAAAGGGAGAGGGAGGGGAAGGGAAAAGGGGGAGGGAGGAGAGGGAAGGAAAGGGGCAAGAGGGGAAGGGAACGGGGGGAGGGGAAGGAAGCGCTGGAGAGCGCCAGAGAGAGGGGAGAACGGGGCTGGAAGAGCGCACGGATGGCGCCGGGCCGGCCGACCGCGGCGCCCCCGGGGGGTGTCCTGCGGCAGCCAGTCCGGCAGCCGGACAACAACCCTGCTCAGTTCTGTGCCCTCGCCGGCGGCGCACCAGGTCGGGAATCGAACGGTTGAGCCACGAAAGCAAAAACAGGTCTTGCGCAAGATGACGTAGCAACCTTACGCGGTGGCTTGCGCGGTCAGCCAGCGCGGCGCGCTACATTGGAGACGAGGGCGCTTACGCGCGACATTACGCAGGCAGCTTACGCGCCAATGTCGGCGCCGTCGTCCCCGTCTCCCCGCGTCGCTCGGCTGCGGGGTGGGGAACTTTTGCGCGGCGTATCGCGGCGGCGGCCTCGGCAACACGCTGCGCCTTGCGAGCCGCTAGCGTGTGTCGCTCCGCTTCGTGGGAGGCTGGAAGAAGCTCGGGACAACAATGCTTGGGTCAGGTCGGGCACGTCCCCCTAGAGGCAGATTGTGGACGAAAGCTTACAAATACCCAAAAAAGAATATTCAAAAATAGGCAGAAATAGTCCGGAAATCGTCCCCTGACTATGTTTTTTCCTATTCTGCATATTCCCGATAATGCTTGAGGACTCGGACGTGCTTAGCGGGTCGGGCCGAGGCGTGGTGGGCCCAGCCCAGCGGCGCGACGCGCTAAGCAGACGTTCCTGACCGCGCATACTCGGAGGAGGGCCGGGCGAGGCAACGGCGGCTCTTCCCGGAAGACTCCCCGGCCTCTCTCGGCCTCCCAAGGGCTTCTCGTCGCCACGTCTGGATCCGTCTCGAAAACCGGGTCTCAGGTCGGGCATGTCCCCTTACAGGCGGACTTTGGGCGAAAAATAAAAAACATACCAAAAATAGTTCCAAAAGAATATAAAAAAAACATCAAAATATCGTCCCTTTACTATTCTTTACTATTTTTGAAAATTCTTCCTGCAGACGGACACACTCGACTTGAACCGGGTCGGGGCGGACCCTGGGAGCGGGGGCCAGGGACTGACGTTGAGCGGATCTGGGCTGCGCGGGAGGGCCTCCGCTGTCTCAGCTGGCCCTCATTGACACACGAATCCACATCCTGCGTCCTCCCTCCACGGATCAACCCACGGGAGAACCCACGGGGCAATCCACGAGACAACACATGCGACAACCCACAAGACAGCCACGGGACGCCCCACGAGGCAACCCTTGGGACAGCCACGAGACAATCCACGAGACAGCCGCGGGACAGGCCACGAAACAACCCACGGGACAACCGCGGGACAAGCCACGAAACCCTACACGGGACAATCACGAAGAACCACGGGACAAGCCACGGGACAACCCGCGGGAAGACGCGTGCGACAACCCACGGAACAACCAATGGGAAGACGCATGGGGAAACCCACGGGACGACCCACGAGACAATCCACGGGACAACCCACGGGACAATCCACGGGACAACCCACGGGACAACCCACGGAACAATCCACTGGACCGCCACGGGACAACCACAGGGAGCCACACCGCAAGACGCACGGAGGACCGGTTTACCCGGCCTGACCCTGGCTGCACCAAGACAACGTCGCCTCCGTGCAACGTCGCCTCGCCCGCAAGCGCGGCACTAGCCGAAGCCGAAACCGAATCCCTGGTGGTGGTCACTGCCTTCGCCCCCCCGAACCTCCTAAGTTTCAACTTATTTGTTCCGCCCGGACAGAACACCTGGACGACACAACCCAAAGGAAATTGCTCAAGGTTCCTGTCTGAATTCACGAGCAGTCGGACCTCGTAACAAAAATGGCAGCACAGACACGCCCCAGGCGTCTCATCTCCGCCGTTGCGAGGCACCTCGAGATGCCACCCCAGGACACGGCCACCGGCAACACCCCCACTTGGCCGCCGGCCACAAGTAGCGGAGATCCCACTGCCCGAGGACTTAGTTCCTGCGCCCACCCCGTCGAGGAAACCCTCCGAAACTTCAAGCGATGAGCACCACCATCCAAGTGATACTGGAACCGAAGATCCGCAGCTGCACGTTGCAACAGCAGGCGTGTCCTGGGCTCCCGCGCCCCTTGACACCACTGCTCCGTCCAAAGGAGTACGGACGGCCGTCCATGCAATGGCCACTCGTTTTTGGCCAGTGCTTTTCTCACACGAATCCCGCTGCTGCTCGAACGAGTCACCCGAAAATATTCCGTTTCCACTCTGTCATGGGTAGGAGGCAAAACAGATAGCTCGCTGTCTAAAACGCTGAAACGCGCATTGCTCTTTCAGTGCGTTCTGCACGTCGTCCCTCGGCGAGCACGTGGCGCTCGTAACCGACGGGCGCCCCGTGAGTTCCGCAGGCGGTGCTGCCGCCGAAGCATCCGTTCCCTCCTCCTCCCAGATCCTCCTCCTCCTCCTCCTCCTCCTCCTCCTCCTCCTCCTCCTCCTCCTCCCCCTCCTTTTCCTCCTCCTCCCCCCGACCTCCTCCCCATCTTTCCCCCGCCCTCCTCCCCGAGTCTCGCCGATCCTCATTCGTCCTCCTCCTCCTCCTCCTCCTCCTCCTCCTCCTCCTCCTCCTCCTCCTCCTCCTCCTCCTCCTCCTCCTCCTCCTCCTCCTCCTCCTCCTCCTCCTCCTCCTCCTCCTCCTCATCCTCCTCCTGCTGCGAACGACCATGGGGACAACAAGGGTCTCAGTGTCTTAGCTTGCAGACACGCATGCGGGACAAGATTAGCCTCGTCGGGTGAAGGTTGTGGTAAATCCCGAGGAACGAAAGACAAGATAGGGGTCCAGGGGGACCCAGAAGGGCAGCAGCCGTTCCTCAATACCTTCAACCTCAGTGCCGACTCTGACGTTATTGTCACTCGAGAAAATACCAGCTGCGAGTTGCTCACACAGTGATCTACTGCAGATAACTCGGTTGAGCCTCCCTTGGATGCCCTCATTGTTGACGGCATAAAGAAGGGGTGGCGTCTTCCCATCCCGACTTGGGAAGCGATAAACGAAACAGTCACGGAAGCTCCCTACACCTGCTCATTGTGTGAAGTGTCGAGCTTCAGGCAAGAGAGTGAAATCAATCTGCCTTTCAGGTGCCTCGAAGCTATGAATGGAACACGCCACGCCACTCCACGCACACACACACACACACACACACACACACACACGCAAGGCTTAGAGACAACCTGATGGCATCATTGGAGAGGTCAAGCTTGGCTCGGGCTTTTCCTTGAAGCCACGGGTATCCCCATGGGTGTGCAGTCGCGCGGTCCGAGAGGTTAATTTCGCACACTACTGCAGCAACCCAACCCTGGGAGATTAAGTCACAGAGAATATGGAAGTGCGTGGAGGGCGTCGGATTGCGGATGAATATGTAGCACGTGCAGGGAAATACCGCGGTCGCGACACCTGATTTCTACGAAATGCTGGAAATCAAAGTCATGCCTACCCTTTTGCAGTTATATGGAATATATGCAGGGCAGCACCTCTATTAACGTCATGCGCAGCGGGCTTTAGTTGGATATCAGGATTTCCAAGTTGAACGGCAAAATTTGACGCAGGGACCTTCGGGACTGGGGTAGCCTTGACTCCAATCAGGGTGGGCCCGGTGATGCGACACGGAGGGTGCTCGGCGAAGCCAGCATATCTACTTATTTGCAAGCTGGCGCGCATCTCGAGCATCTTGCTCGGCCAAGGCCTGAACGGCCTGATCAGTGAGGGGCCGAATCTTGCAACGCAATCTGTCAAGGCAAAAGTTCGATCCGTGTCGAAGGTGTCGCAACAGTCGAATCCTTGTGTGACAGCACCTTCCACACGCTATACAATCAGGGCCAGCTGCGTACTTACTTGCATCATCTAGCCTAGGATGTTGTTCGTGCGATGTGAGATCAGTGCTCCTGGGTTACTTGCTACAAAGGAGCATTCGTAGCAAATGTACTTGGCGCCCCTCTGTTGGCGCCTCATGCGCGCGCGGGGGGGGGGGGCTGCGGGAGGCCCCCTCGCGAGCACTGTTTGGACACAAAGGCTTGAAAGCTTAAAACTTGTTGGGCATCTGGGTGGGCATGTAGGGCTGTTTTTTTTCAGCTAGAGTACAGGGGCGGAACCATTTCCTAGGGGGGCCTCTTGCTTTCCTAAGCCACCACGCGTGATCTCCAGTGGGCCTCTTATCTTGGGCCACATTGAGGCGTTCAGACACCCCGTGAACATCAGCTTCAAGCCTGCGGCTCCAGCTGTTAGGCGTGCGAAAGAGACCTTCGAACAATCTAGCCAGCACGACGGGGCCTGTCTCCATGATCCTGCCGAGCAGCCGCAGTCTCCTAAGGCTGACAATCACAGAAGATGGCAAGACGCTTGCAGCAACATACACTTCGCAGGATGCAATGTGTTGCACCTGGTCCTCGTTCTAGGGCATCATGGCCGCCGCCTTTGAAGGTGTGCACGTGAGCTGACTCAAGCCGTTCAGCTGTCTTCTTTCCTAGCTCGGGCCACACTGAGCAATTATGGGAAAGATGAGGGGAGACAATGGCCTTAGCATACTTTATGTGGTGCTGTGTAGAGAGGCCCGCTCCTTTGTGAACAAACCTGTGAATGGCCTTACGAGCCTCAGTGGCCTTCAGGGTTCTCGCTTGGACTTCAGGGGCCACGTTGAGATCCGAAGGGAGCTGAAACCCAAGATACTTGTACTGCTTAGTGGGGCATATATGGATACCATACTTAGTTAGGGAGTGTGGGGCGCACATGCTCGCATAGAACTGATTGTGGGCTCTCTTGGAGCCAATTCCGTACGCGAAAAAAACATGGCTTCGGCTTTTCCTCGTTTAAAGTTCAGCGTCAATCCCCGCTGAACCGCAGCCTCGTAAAAAGCCAGGGTCGGGTCATCTAACACTTGGGCCCATCTGTCACAACGATCCACGTCCACCAGGTTAACTAAGTCATCCACGTACGGCGGTCCTTGCACGTGTGGGGAAAGCTGCCCTGGCATCGTGAGAACCCTGTCCTTGTCGCCTGGGCTGGGAAGGGAATGAAGCCATCCTTTATCTCGCAGAACGTTGTTTATGTCCTGTTGCACTGGCCAGAAGTTGAGATTGAAAAAAGATAATCCGCGAGAGGCATGCCAACGCGAGTGCCTGTCTTTCCC